TGGTTTCAGTGACTCACCCCAAAAAAAAAAAAAGAAGAAAAAAAGAGAAAGAAACTGTTCCAAAAAGGAGAAGAATAGACGGATCCTTTTACATTTTTTCATTCTCTGCTCATGCTCCCCCCCCCTCACACTCCCTCTGCCTCCCCCATTGGCTTACAGCACGTCTTCTTATTCCCTTCTCTTCCTGATGAGATCAGGACGTGCAATTAAACCCATTTGATCTAATATTATCCAGCAAAACTCCTCAGTGGCCGAGGCTAAAACAGAGTGGTGGCAAATTAGAACTTTCTCAATTTAGTAATTCACAGTGGGAGATACAGAGAAGAAGAAGAAGAAGAAGAAAAGAAGCATATTTTTGATGTCAAAACCATATTTTAAAAGACGGGAAGATCCCCAGAGAAAATGAACCGTGACAGATCGACACTCAACAAGGCCACACCTGACACGTACACAAGGGAAGGCAGCAGAATGAAGGCAGGTGAAGATAATAAAACACCGGTGAATCACAGCAGGACACGGATGGATAATTACTGAGGAGCAAAACAACAACTGACTTGAACTAATGAGACAGAGGAAACCTGCAGCAACGAATAAAAAAACGTCTTGACGGGTTTCGGTAAACACGCGTTAGTGAAGGAGAGGGAATCATTAGGTTTTGACGTGCAGCGGTGCCGACACGGAGGAGCCTCTCCAGAGCCGTGGCCTGAAAACCAACCAAAACCAGGCGAGAAAAAAAATCCCACCAATGTTTTTTTAAATGGGACCCATTTGTTCATTAATGCTTTCCATGGTCACAGGGGGGCACTACAGACCCTAACGCCAGGTGGCCATAAATGGGCCTGGTGCAGTACGGAGACGGATTGAAAAATAATTTGTAGTTTTTCATCCTCCGCTCCCTGACAGACGGAGAACAGCAGCAGCTTTGTTACTGTGAAGTCTGATGTGGCCGAGGTCCAGCAGTGAGGGACGGAACAGGTGCTTCACAGAGACCAGAGTCATCACAGAAATGGAACAGGAAGGTCACTGGTGTCCACTGGTGTCCACTGGTGTCCACTGGTACAGCTACATCAGGGCCTGTTTCCTTATTTATGGATGAAATACTGTACCAAACAAACACCCTTTCACCTACAGTTGACGATTTTTAAATGAAATACTGTACAAAACAAACACCCTTTCACCTACAGTTGAACGACGGCCCAACCCCCCCGAAAAAGTGAACCTGAGTTTGTGGAAGTTGAAGAATGTTTTTCTCATTCTATTAACCTTTGAAGCAGGTCTTTCTTTGGAATTCTTTTTCCAAATTCTTTTGGAGTCTTTTTTTATGACCAAACCAAACCACATAGTTTCCTTATTGCCCAGACGACACAGGTGTGACTTAGAAGTGGCCATCTCTGGACCAGTCCACCTCTGGACCAGTCCACCTCTGGACCAGTCCACCTCTGGACCATGTTTTAGGATTCAGTCCAGATATGTCCTGTCACCAACCAACTGAACGTCATCTTTAAACAAACACACACACACACAGACAGACACACAGACATAACCAAATCCAGAGGTAATCACATGACTCATCGTCACTGCCTTGTGAAATACTTCAACATAATTATCATTTGAACTTCCCTACATAAAATGTAATCATTTACAAAGTAACGTGGAGCTGCTCTGTCACGTACTGAGTCTCAGTTCAGTTCAGGCCCAGAATTGAACCAACAACCTAAGACATTTGGTCTTCATTTAATAAAAACTCACATTTAAGGCATGTTTGTACGCTGAATAGTATCTCTGCACACTTTCATTTTGTTTCGAATAAACAAAAAAAAGCATCATGGTGTCCTAAAGGAACGCACTGACGTTACTGAAGATGAATATTTATTTACACCACCTCACTCTGAAAACCTTGATATGTCAATGATTTAGTTGGTGTTTTTTTCTGTTCTGAGTCTTACACAGTGACACAACAGAAATAATCCTGACGTCAGTTCAAGCCCTGATGCTGCAAAGTCATTGACACCACTGTGTAATTGGAGTGGAGTAGTCGACTCTTCTTCTGTTCTATTATTAGGACGAAGAATTTTAGAATTCAATTTTAGAATTCAGATAGTCAGTCAGTCATCCTGGTTCATTGTTTCTCAAATGTGTTTTATTCCCTTACAAAAAAAAAATCTATTTACATTAGTCTGACTCGACCTTTGCTCCGACCTTTGCCTATGAAAATGATCCATAGTAAATTAAGGTGTGTATTTGGTGTAATGACTGAACGTGAACTATAAATGTACACGGTAACAGCCAGAGCTGGTTTCTTTTCTATCCCTCAGTCCTTTGGAGGCGCCAGTGTCAGCAGCCATATAAGACAACAATAAAGTAATTAGCAGGAGAGGGTGTTTATGGTGCACATCAAAGATAAAGAAAGGTTCAGGAGGCCAAATAGCCAAGTGCAGAAATATATATATATATATATATATATATATATTTTAAATTTAAAACCAAATATATGTATTTCAGTAAGTAGTAATGCAACGTGGAAATGTTGTAATGCATCACTGTATTGCATTACTGCTTCTTTCTCCATTGTTTTCTCCATTGTTTCTTCACCTTCACCTCATTTTGCCAGTTCACTTGTTGCATATAAACAAATGTCAGGGCGACGGAGGGAGACGGAGGGGAGAGGGGGGGAGAGGGGGAGGTAGAAAGGTTACTCTCACCTGGTGGGGTAGGCAGTGTGTTGATGCTGGGTCCAGGTTTGACCTGCTCCTCAGGGGAGTATTTCAGCTGAAGGATCTGGTGGAGGTCGAAGAACTCCCTGTACCTCCTGTAGATGAAGTATTTGCTTGATCCTCGCGTCTTCACCTCAATCACGAAATTCTGAATCAGGAAGACGGAAAAGAAAAGAAATGTTTACTACAGGATATTGTTTTTTTTGTCCTTATTTAATATGACTGTGGATTCATGACGTACAAAGTAGTCGATGAAGCCTTTCTTCTCCTCGATACCAGCGATGGTGGCGCTGACGGGGACATCATGAGGAAGTTGGTCAAAGTCACTGTGGGACAGAAAATATTAGACAGTTAGAGTACAATTTAAATCTTAAATACTGCAGTCAGCTAAACAGGAAAAAAATAAAATTTGGTGCAGCATTGTGATTGGTTTGATGGCAAAGAAATTATTTTGTTTTGTTATTAGTAAACTAAAAAGTAATCTTATTAGTGAGATAAAGTAGTTTATCCATTAAGTAATCTCATTAGTAATCTAAGAAGTAATCCGATCATAGCTACAGTATCACAGTAGGAAAAGGAAAATGTTACTAGTAAAATAAAAAACAATATTAGTTCAAAAAGATATAAAGTTACTATAAAACATACTTGGGATATATGGAATATAATCAGATTATTTTTGGTTATTTTTAACGTTGTATTTCTGAATAAATACTGAGACTAAACTAACAATAACAACAACAAAAAACTTTTCTTTTTTTAAAAACATTTAACTCTTTGAGTTAGAAGTGTCCGGACCTTCAGTGAACAGTTCTTAAATCACCACAGACCGTATGTTACCGTATAAACACATCGACGCCTCAGACTCTCACCTCTCGTCTCGTAACTGCTGCGGCAGCGGCATGGTTTGTTTTTCTGTTTTTTACGCCAAACAAAAGGATGACAAAAAGTTCAGGTCGAAGTGATGACTGAAGTTTTGAAGGTTTTTATCCACAACTGTTCAGACAGATCCACATCACACCCTGAGCTCTGACAGAGGGAGTGACTGCACACACACAGGTGCAGGGTGAGACAGGCGGCTGCAACCGTGCGGAAACAAGGCAACAGGAAGCGATGGGTCCGTGAACGCACCAGAGGATGATGAGCTGTTTTTAAGACCAGGGCGTGTTCTTAATATGATTTTTTAAAACATGAATGAATGAATAAAAAAAAAAGAAGAAGAAAAAAGATTTATCAGACGTAGGAACAAAATAATTATAATATTTTAACTCTCATTGTCATTTCTTCAAATTTTTCCTTTTTTTTCTTTGAGGAACTGAAAATGCAGAATGTTTCAGTTTTGCATGTTAACTTCTGTTTATGCCGAGTGTATAAAACAGCGGAGACTCAGTCTGATATGATATACGTGTTATTATGACATGATATATTACACTTTTTTTTAAATATTTCTCTATTTCTTAAACTTCGTACTTTTTTACGTTTCTCTTGGTGTTTTTTTAAATATTCTCTATTTCTTACGTTTCTCTTGGTGTTTTTTTAAATGCTCTTGTTGCAGCAACTGTAACAAAAAAATAATTTTGTAAATAAATCTAATTTTGATCAGCACTGTAATTGGAGTTTTGCTAATGATGTTTTTCGATCTAATAAAACCTTTTCTATAGTTAGATTCACATAACAGCTGATGTCTGCTGAGGTAATAGTCTGAGTGATTACGGCTTTGAACACTAGAGGGCGACAGAGACGGTTCTGTCTTCGACCTGTGTGTGTGAGCGACAGAGAGGGATGGAGAAGAAAGAGTGGAAATGATAGCTCTAAATTGAATGAGTAATTGTTCTAGAATTTATTTTCCACTCTTTGTTAATGCTGTGCTGCAGAAATACTGTCATCAACCAAATAGTATCACTTTTCAGCAGCTGGAGTGTCTTTAAAAGAGCACTGGTGTCCTTTGACACTCCAACTCTAGTGCCTGAGTCACGTTGTCCTTTTATTTTTTGTCCTTTTACCATCATCAAATGAGTGTGTCCCTTCATTGTGCAGTCCTCCCTCTTCAACACTGCTCTACACCAGAGAAAACAGAGTAAATTCAGAGTGAATGTGTTAGGAACGCTGGGAAACAGAAAGAGAAACCAGAGGCAGATAATGAGCAGATTCTTGAAAACCTAATGAGGAAACACACACCCACACAGACAGTGAGGGAATGGTTGGCTCATGCAGTATGTGGACCAGTGATCCATTCAGCGGAATATGTACACGAACAGTTTATGCTTTCTAAAATAAAATTATTTTTTTTAAAACTTGACTAAAAATGTTCCAATTTCAAACTTTTTGAAGCATTGATTGTAGCCAGGTTTGATGAGCAGTCACACGGTAAATGTTTGGCCCAAAGGACACACTGGCATGCAGATGGAATGGAATCCTCCACACACATTTGCACGACACTGTGAACTCTAGAGGTCCACGCTGCGTGACTTCTGTCTTCTGTTTGCTCTGGGGGCGTGTTCTTTGTGTTGGCTCAGCAGTTTCATGCCTCAGTGATTTAAACAAAGTGAGGGTTTTTTTCTCTCTCACTGTGAGTTTGGTCGTCTGTTGACTGACGTTGTTTGCCCTGAGATTAAATCTAATGCAGGCCTAAGAGATGCTTGTTTTATAGAAACAAACAAAAAGTCTGAAGGATGGATCGATGAGTGTGTGGAAAAAGGACAAGAATGTGAAGTCTGTGTGTGTTTGTGTGTGTGTGAGAGAGTGCAGTACCCATTTTGTCCCCATATCTGTTTACATAGAGGTGGAGACGGATGCCTTTGAAGAACTGCTTGTCACTGCACGTCACTGAAACACACCTGCAGGCTGTAATTCATCTTCAAGGTCTAGTCTGACTCTGAGACTCACCGTGTCGGTTTGTGTTGAACTGCTGGATTCTGAATCACATTTGCCCCGACAGTCGCCCCACGTACTTGGAGCTGATTCCTGACAGCACCTAACGACGTCACTCTCTTTCAGACGATGGGTGGAACTTTTCCACTCACGCCGTTTTGTTGGAGTCCATGACTGTTTCCTCAGGTTCACGCCTCCTTTCCTGTCATTCGAGTGAAAAAAAAAGATGAACAGTTTGAAAACGTACGAAAGAAAACAGACGTCTGTTGTGACTGATAAGAACAGGCTCAGCAGAACTGGGAACAGAACTAGGGTTAGTTCAACGCACAATCACTGAACCACCGAGTCGTGATATTAATACTCTGCCGCCTTCAATCTGTTTCTCTCTACAGATGTTTGAAGTTTTATGAGTTGGTATCAGGTTTAAAGAGTGTTGCATAAACACCCTGAGACCTGCCTGCAGCGCCTGCTGTAACATCTTCAGATCTAGGTGTAATTTTACACTTCTGAACTTCCCACGAATCTGACAAGAATGTCACTGATGTTCACCGGTAATTGACATTTTTCAATAACAGGTGCAGTCCTCCTGGCTTTAAGCCGAGGTTGTATTGCAGAATATGCTGTCAACACTTGACCTTAGTGTTTTTTTTTTTTTATGTTAACATGACGAGCCTGAGAGAATTCAGCTCTGACACCTGGCGACATCTACAGGGCGACTGTGGTTAAGACACCTGGATAGAGCAGGGAGAGTTTTCTAAAATATTAGTGTACAATAACATAAATAAATACAAAAGAGTTACATTATTTTTAGAGGCCATTTAAAGGTTGTTCTTCTGTGTCTATGGCATGTCAACAATAATTAACTAAAATCTGTGATTTTGTGTAAAAAAAAAAAGATTGATATTATTTCACTGATTTTCCACCTGTACAGTACCAACTCTGACCAAATGTTATCAAATAAATTTGTTGTTCTGTCTCTGTCTCTTTCCCAGCTGACAAAATGCCGATGACAGATCTGTTGAAAGCTGAGGAGATCAAGAAAGCTCTTGATGCCTTCGCAGGTCTGTTCCAATCACAGTCACGGTCCATTCTGCCTGGTCTTCCTTATTATTCATAGTAACTGTGTCAAAAAAAAGAGAAAAGTAATTCTACTGCGTTGTAGTCAAGTCACATTTCCTGTCCTCTTGTTTTTCTTGCTTCTTGAAGCGGAAACATTTGATCCTAAAAAGTTTTTTGAACTGATTGGAATGAGGGCAATGTCGGCTGAAAATGTCAAGAAGGTGTTCCAGGTTCTGGATGTAGATGGAAGTGGGTTCATAGAAGAGGAAGAGCTCAAGTGAGTAAAACTATTATCTTCACATTGTGAATCCTTCCAAGTGTTTCAACAACACCGTCAGTAACTGGTTTCTTCAACTCCCCTGCAGGTTTGTTCTCAAGGGCTTTTCTGAGGACGGCAGAGATCTGACTGATGCAGAGACAAAAGAATTTATGAAAGCGGCAGACAAAGATGGAGACGGCAAGATCGGCATTGATGGTGAGAAAAAGAGGGAACGTTGGTTAGCACAAAACCGCAATCACGGCAACATCGTTGTCAAAGATGAGGTTACAACAATGAATTCTGCAGATTTTTTTTTTTGTAAAAGGAAAGAAAAGCAGATTGTTACCAGATGAGAGTCTAAGAAAGTATGACATGAAATGAGTTGTTTTAGAGGCTACAAAAAGAAGGACGTGGTAAAAAAGGGTTGTTTTGTTTGCTTACGTACGAAGGAGAGAAAATGAGAGAGAAGGTTAATCTGCCTCTTCGTCGTTTGCACCACCTTGATATACAGGAATGCAGTCTTTTAGCAACAGAAAGTAAGATACAGTGTGTCAGACAACAGTACAACAACACAGTCAATGCTGTACGTCTATTTTCAAAAGCAAGATTTCGATTTTTTTTTCTGTTAGGTCAGAAGAGTTTGACCCACAATTTTTTGCATTAACTTTCTCATATTTTCTTTTTTTTTCCAGAGTTTGAAGCCATGGTACATGAGTAAGAAAGAGTCTACTAATCTACTCGTTTTCTTCATTCACTTCTTAAAACTGCCCCCGTTCAAACTACCCCCCAGTTCCTTTTGAAACCCAAGCACAGAATCAGAGCAGCCCTGTTTCCTTCAACACGAGGATCCACCACCACAAAGACATCCAGGTCTTTAGGCAACAATCTAATTTTCATGCTTTGTTTTTTATATTTTATTGCGATCAACTTTTGGAATTATTTATGATTCAACAAAGATGTCTGGGTGAGCTGAAGGTGATGTTGATGTTACGAAAGACCATCAAGATGTTACAACTGCATTCCTCTGTGTACCTCAGATCACATGCTAGACCTTTCTCCCACTCCTCCTCCCCCTCCTCCTCCTCCTCCTCCTCACTCACTGCCTCTGCTAAGAATGTGAGGGGCAAACTGATAACAAAAAGCTGTGAAGAGAAAAAAGATGGAAAATTTTAAAAAATGAGAATAAAAAATATTGAGTAAGAACTTTAGTCTCTTTACTTTTTTACGTTTCTTTACTCACATCGGACACAAAATAGAACCAAAGAACACGGATGCACTGAACAACGGTCAATATAACAGAACAGAACAGTGCAAAAAACAAACAAACACACATTCCACAAAAGAAATGACACAATCAAAATGGTTGAATATGAGGGTTTTTTAAGGTGAGATCTAAATTATACTCAAAGAGACAAACATGATACGAATGTAACGATCACAAAACAATGACTGTTGCTCTGGCGACTGTCTTTGCAAAAGGGAAAAAATATATTTGTTGTAGTATGAAAAAAAACCAAGCAGATTTTTTCCTAGATTCTTTCAAAAAGTATGAAAAAAACCAAGCAGATTTTTTCCTAGAATAGCTGGAATTATTACTTCCAGACGGAGCCGAGTGATTTAATTTGATTTCTCTGTCCATGCTCAGCTTAATGAAATGCTAGTTTTTACAAAAAAAAACCAACAAAAACAATATCTATGTTAATCAAATAAGAGTGTTTTGATATTTAAAGCTGCTGTCAGTAAAAGGATTTAGTTAAAACAAGGTTTTTATACAATAATCATTCTCTTTAATGCGATGAAAATGAAAAACCATTTTAGTTCAAACAATAAATCAGCAGTAATTTCGCATCGAGTTGCGATGACGATGACAGCAGCGACAAACAGGAACTGAGTTGCGGTGACGATGACAGCAGCGACAAACAGGAAGTTAGAAGTGTATGACAGCGGCTTCAAAAACTAAAAAGTCCTACAGCAGTACTTCATGTGGTACCAGATACTACTTGTGTTCCCTAATACTGTACACATATCAATACTCTCTCTATTCTTTTCTGACCCAGAGCCTCACATCTGAGCGCTGCGTTTACATCCCTTACAAACACAAATACATTCCCTCCCTTTCAACCTGATCTGGTCCTCAGTGACAGACACCGCCTGCACTGCTGCTGACTGTCAGTGAATCCGAGGAGATGATCTGTCATCGGTCGTCGTAGGGCGAAGCTTTACTGTGGCAAATGGGTTGGTGCCTCTGAAACGATGAGGACGATCAAAAATGTCACACAAACTCTTCAGGTATATTCAACTTCTTCTAATACAAAAAAAATAACTGAGTAGTATAGTGATGTACACAGAAACCTACCTTGGAAACAGACGGTTTTCAGATGGGCCCTGCGGTGACAAACCCTGAACAAAAAGGAAAGTGTTATTACAAACAAAAATAAGTCAATCCTACTGAAGAAGACCTACTTCATACCTGGACGTCAGATCCTAATTCACTCTTTTTGTCAGGGTGGGGAGAGACGGGTCTAAAATCTACAGAACCCCTCCTGACACTCTGAGACGGGAACGTGGAGGATGAAGGAAGAGGAGGTGGCGGGGGCGGTGGAGGCGGATGTTCATTGTAGCTCTTGGTTTGACTCGGCTTTAGCTCCGACGCTGGATCTGACCTTTTCTCAGGTGCAGGGGAGCTCGGCCTGACGTCCACAGAAGCTCTGCGATTGGACGTGGCAGAAGGCGTCGCGTCTCCGTAGGTTCTGTTTTCAGTTTGTTCACTGTAGGCATCGGTGGGGTCGAGGAGATTGTTCGTACTGTGGCTTCTCACAGCAGCAGCACTGATGACACACACACAGGACACACGTTAAACACTGGCTGACATCTGTGAGGGCTCCCCCTGCTGACGTCTTAAACACCCACTGACAACAGGTCCTTGTTCACATGTTAACCAAATGTTTCCTGATTGAATTTAATTTTATAATTAAAAAAACCTAACATTTTATACCTACCTGGCTGCTGAGGAGTTGGAGAACTCTTCTAAGGACACCACATAAACAGCGGGGAACCAGCCTTGACTGAAGGAGAAAAAACAGATTAAAATATAGACATGAAAAATAAAAAGTCCTTTTGATAGTACTATACAGTAAATGTTGTACTTTTTTACTTTCTATAAAAATGTAATTCTGTTTATGGTCTTTTTAACTGATGTAAAAAGTTATCTTAAACAAAAAAAAAACATATTTCTGATCTGTGTCCGCAGAAGCATTTATAGCAGCGTGAAAAATGCTAAACCACATCTATACAATATAACATCAGCTTAACCATGATAATCTAATATGCATTGCATACAGTGGTGCGTGTGCTGTTCAAGTCACCCCCTACCGTAAGTTGCTGTCTGTGCGTCCATACAGCCAGCCATTGCGTGGTTCCTGGACCAGGACAGTGATGGTTTCTCCTCTGTTGAAGGGCAAAAGCTTTGGGTTGGATGAGGTCGGATGAGAAACCAGGGCTCTCATTGCTCTTCCTTCAGGCAGACCCAGAGATTCGCCCACTGAGCTGGAGCGAGAGCGGCTCGGGATAGGAGACGGTGCTTGAGGGCACGAGAGGAATGAGCGTAAGTCATGTGGGGTCACAGATTATTTTTGATTATTATTTTTGATATTTTTCTACATATGTATTAAAATGAGAATGACAAATAATAACTACGACTAGTAATGTATACCTCCCACCTCTAGAGGGCACTCTGCCCAGTGCCAGTTGCTCTCTTCTGGCCCAGGACATATCCTCATCCCGGGCCACTGTCTGCAGTAGAGAGCTTACTGAGCCGCGGAGCTGGACAAAGACATACACAGGTGAATAGGAGAGGACAAAAACCAGCTGCTCTGATTGGCTGATCAACTTCAAGTAAGAGGGAGTTTACTTTGGTGAAACATTAATTTTAATTTATTGCCTGCAGTTCATCAGGTAGTAAAAGACTGTACCTTAAAATACACACATTTCACTTGTCAGTCACTAAATCACCAGATTTAATTTCTTTGTTTTTGTCCTATATGGTGTCACAATCTTGGAGCCATGGCTTTGGTACCTGTGCTTCTTGGTCCAAGTGGTTTGGGGTCAGAGGTCTGGACCCTCTGGTATCGTTCACTTTGTTCTTCCATCCGTCTGCTTTTTGTAGAAGAGATGAACCAGTCTGACGACAGAGGATCAGAAACAGAACGGCCTCTCGTAAAGTGACCAGGATTCTCTGATAATAATCACAGAGTCAATGATAATAATAGAGATAAAATGTGGATTTTACAGTACAGTGAGACTTAAGGACACTGTACTGTGAGTGAGATCCAGAATATTTCATTTTTTGATTTTTCAGTTTTTCCATCTCTTCTTCAAGACTATATGAATAATGTGAATTCACACGTTACCCAACAGTTTTAAAGTACCTTGTTTATCAGAAAGAGCAGCGACTGCGTTAGACCACAGTGTTTCTCTGCCAAGAAGCGATACCTTCGCTCCTCTTCCCTCAGGATCTCCTGCTGGCTCTGCCTCAGGTAAACCATGTAGTCACTATTCTCCTGAAAATACATCCACACAAAATAATATACACGTGTAACAAAGATAAGAGTACGATTACTGTTACTACTGTTACAGTCCAGTAACTGTGTTTAATTTGTAACAGTGTACGAACCAGAGAATCTCTGAAGGTTCCTTGTCTGAGCTGCTTCTCCAGCGCCTCGGCCTGGTTTCGTACCTCAATCTCATAAACTCTGCGACTTCCCTTCAGTAGACGGAAAAGTTTTGTTTAAAAAAAAAAAAGAAAGTCTGGAGTCAAACAGATGAAACATGACAGTGAAAAAGGGGTCAAAATAAAGGAAAGACCTTGACACAAGTTCAAGAAAAAACTCCAAAAACTTTTAAAAACATTAATTGATCAGAAACGAACCAGGAATGTCATATAAACTTTCTCTTTGGAAACAGTTACTTCGTGGATAGTCAAGTTTTTTTTTTCTTTAACAAAAATCTTGTTAATCTTACATCAATGTACTCCTGGTCCAACTTCACATTCTTCTCCATGGCCTGAAGCACCTCAATCTGGAACCATTTAAACTGCAGCAGTGGAGGGAAAAAAAAAACAAAAAACTTTTCAAGTTTCACTTTATTGCATAGTTGTTTTATTGTTATCAGTTTATTGAAGGTGATGGAGATCAGATGTACTGACCAATCCCTCCATCTCTGCAGTCAGTCTTCTCTGTGTCTCTGATATTTGGATCAGTACATCTCCTATGTAGACAGTTAATTAAAAGTTACAATTAAAAAAGTGTATTTAAAGTAAAGTAAAATATTATGAGGTTATCCACAATTCATATCAATATAAAACACAGGCTTCAACTGTCAGAGCTCAGACTGTTGTTGTTGTTGTTTTGGCAGCTGTGTTTCCCAGTCTGACATCATTACATGTTCGATTTCAAATTGAAAGTTTTTTTCTCATGTTGTTCAAATTCATCTCCACCACTACAGAATACGGCCGGGAGTCTTTGAGCCGGTGCAGATTCTTCGGTCCTACTTGATGAACCACTCAGATAAAGTGGAAAGTTAGCCAAACTCTAACAGGTGCTGTCAACCACGGCTATTGTCACGGACCGCGGGTGAACTAATGAACTGAGTGCAGTTGAAAGGCTGTCGCCATCTATATTTCAGGAACTGTTACTTAATATGGCCTCGGGTCACGCTGTGGCTCCCTGACCTCAGCTGGAAGAATCACATGTCTCATACCGTGTGCCACGACTGCGGTACTAGAAAAAAAAACTAGGAGAAAAAATTCTAAAGGTGTTTCTTACTGACTTCTGTGAATATGAATATATAAATCTTTGTCTGCATATTGCTTTCAGGTTTGGACTTGTATGGTGAAGCTGTAGCACAAGTTTAAAAGATTATTTTCCACCTACGGTGGGGCCGTAACATCCACTGATACATACTGTAAAAATCCAATCAAAGTCGTGCCCGTTTACTTCAGGGACACAGCACATAATAACAGCATTTTGTAACTGGTCATTAGGACCAAGAAGATGCAGTTCATCAACATCCTTATCCTTTTCAGGGTCATGGGTGGAGATGAAGAACGACAGTAGTTCATAGTTCTTCACATTAGCCCAAACATTCATGTTTTTGGACTCTGGGGGGGGGACCAATCTTTGGAAATGACTGACACACACACTTACCAAGAGAGCGAGATGAGAGCGTGTGAAGAGCCTGGTCGCCCATCTTAGCCACGGCGCTGAAGTAGGCTTCACTGCAAACAGCTAGTGCTGAAGTACAAAGAAAATAAACACAAATAAATCCCTCTTCCAAACATTGGATATCAAGACTCTGTACTTAACTTTGGAGTTACGGTTATTTTACAGGTGAAGTCAGTTTAACTCATTTCAATCACAAAGGCATCACAGTGTTGACATGTGATAGGTGATTTCAGTCCGTGCCAGTGGGTGTAGTTTTACCACTGTGCTTTGTTGCCTTGTGAATGACGTCCTGTCCTGGTTTTACTGGGCAGAGGTGCATTAATGATACATGCGCTGCTTGTGTGGCACGCACGATAAGACGGAGCATCAGCCGTGACGGAGAGAATAGATTCAACGAAACAAACTATTGCAGGCTGTCGGTCAGACTAATTCTAACGTCTTATCATCGTTACTGCTTGTGGTACAGTGAAATTTAATTTATATTCCGCCAATTATTATTTGAAGTACTTAGTATAGTGTATGAATGTAGACATCCAATTCATGCAAAATTATTTTTTCGCCTCCCACTCACACATCTAATGCCATTTTTGATTTGGATTTCCTGGAAAACAGGTGATCACACACACAAACAATTTATCCAGAACTCAAACCACATATGTTGTCACTGATGACTCACCTTGAAAAGCTTTCACATAACTGTTTCCTAGAGCAGCAAGCTTCTGAAGGCCTGGGTTAAAGTGCTCCATCAGATTCTACAGTGACACACACACAAACAAAACAACCAGACAACATGTACAACGTTACAATTCAACCGTGTATTATAAACATCCATGTACTATAGGTTATAAACCTACCGTATAGACAGTCAAGGTGGATCTGTGCAGATGGTCACTGTTGGCTCCAGACATTTTGACCAAAAGAAGTTAAATATAAAACTCAAAACAACAACAACAAAAAACTGCAGCTGAAATGGAAAAAAAAAAAAAACCTTCTCTCCTGGGATTATTTTTCCATTCAAACCGTGGACAGTACTGCCTCAGCCATTTGTCCTGTATTTGGTCAGTGTCAGCCTCGTCCACAGACCAACAAAGATCTGTAGAGTAAAAGTACACAGCCTCTCCTTGCCTTTGTTTACCTCTTTAATGTTGTCTATTAGTTACTCGTCATTAGTTGTGTTCATAGAAAGAGCAACCAAGCGAGTGAGGCAGAGAAAAAAAAGTGAGGAAGCACCATTGATATGGTCGGGTAAATTATTCATGGGTGAGGACAACAGCGGTGAGCACGTGACCTGCTGTGATGTGCGATCGCACTTGAAAGACTGAAGCAAATTGTTACCTGAAAAGTACCAAAGGTCAGTACCACGGTGACGTCCTTCAAATATTGTAATCTGCCTGAAACAGACCATCAGATGATGAAAGTCTTGGCACTGAATGTATTTGTCAGTCAAAGGTGATGGGTGAGAGAAATAATTCCCAACCACATGGAAAAAAATGCCCAGGAGAAGTTGTGATGAAATATGTATTGGTTTCTTCTATTTTTAAAATTCTTTTGGACAACACCGACTCCACAGACAATAACGAAACAAGTCTGTGGGCTTTTTTCATTATTTTTCAAAACCCAGAAGATTCTTATTCTCTGCCAGAGTTCAAAAGAAGAGCAGTGCCGGGCAGTTTAACTTTCTTTTGATACTTTGGAAACAGCCAAAAAGATTGTTTTCATCGGGCGAAGATTTATTGTAATTTCGTCATCTGTCGATCAAACCAACACAGTTCAGGCAATCTCCTCTACATATTATGTTTAATGAACACACCTGACCTCCAAAACAGTTAAAATGATAATGGACATCTCACCAAAGTGCTGAGGCTTCTCTACCTTGAGAAAGTGTCCATGTCATCAAAGAAGACCTCACCACCAGCGCCACCATCACTCCGTTGCTTTCGACAGTGACCTACAGTCTCCAGGACAGTTTTCAAACGACGATCGAGAGCCGCGAGGTGGAGCTCCGACAGCAGAGGAGCCACCTTGTGAAGGGGATCACGGGAGAGGGAGGCCCTCACAACATCGCTGAGGCGATACTGAGGCAGAGACAAGAGAACAAGGCGAAGCCATGTGGAACGACGGAGTCTGGTGAAAAAGGAAACAAAAAAACAAAAATGAACACGTTAAAGAGGAAAATAAAAAAAGGCTACAATTACAGTGATAAATGTTGTTCTTCTCTTCTTCTTAAATATGTTCTTCTTTGGTCACAGTCGTCATCATTGTACCTGCAGCACTGTTTAAGTGGAGCTAAGATGGAAGGTTCATCTTTGGAGTGTCGACCAAAGCTGACGAGAAAAAAACAAAACAAAAAAAAACATCCCATGTCAACTGGTGATCACCAGGAGCCATTTTTAAAATAAATAATAAAAAAAAAGCATGAAAAAGACTCACCCTCTACCATTGTCAAGGTGCAACAGAAAAGTATTGTTGCCAAACTTCTCAAATGTCTCATAGTGATGTCTGTCCATGTTACCTACGGGGAGAAAACAGTAACAGAAAAGTAAGTGAACATTTTTAGCAAAGATATAATATCTACTAAAATCATCATAAATATACACCAACAAAGTATGATGTAAAAACTTTCTTCAATAATTAAGGATAAAAAAGAACAAATATGGTAAACAAAAGTCATGAATATTTTTATAATAGCATTTACAATATCATTCTTTAGAACATGAAGACTCAACAAACAGTATTAGAAAAACATCAAATATTACAACAAATGGTACAGAAGAAAATAAAATATATACACATATACAGTATGCATATTTTACACATTTGAATTGATGTTGCATCAGTACACGTTGAGATCTTCGTGATAACTTTAGGTGTATTCAGTCAGAGAACACTCACAAGCCTTACTCTTTTTAAATTACACGACACAGGATTAAGTCTAGTACGGAGAGGAACCAGAGTAATGATATTAGCGTCAGCCAATCCTGATTCTCCAGTCCCCTGTTTTCCATCCAGGTAAAGTGGGCAGTGGTAGACTGGTAACTCAGAGGCTGTGGATGGAGAAGCCCCTGAAATCTGAACATTGTTTTTGTCCATTAAATATGAACTTTTACCAGAACAAAAATCATCTCTGACATTGATTTTGCTCCTAACTTCAGCCTTGATACAAACAGGAGGTAGAGTGCATGGCTGTGAAGAGACTGTGTCCTCTAAGACTCCACACTGATTATTCCATGATGCTCCTCTCAGCTCTAAGCCACACAGATACACAGCATCCACAGGTGGAGACAAGGCTGGACAAGTGCTTTGATTTAGAACCTGTAGAGAAAAGAAAACAGAATTAGCACAAATTAAATTAAACACACTCCTCTAAAATTGCTCCCTGTTGTGACATGCTCAAAATCTGATCTCTGAATCTATGTGTGAGAAATGTTACCACATTTTTAATAAATTAATTCTGAAACACAAGCACCATTTGACCTATGATTTTGTCATTTACCTGGAAAGTCAGTATTATGTCGCTGACATATTTGCGATTCACTCGCGAGGCTTCTCTCATCATTGCCACCAGAAATCCCTTGGCATTACTAAAAGCTGAGAGTCGGTATGCTCCCGGTGGATCTGAAGTGTAGTTGTGTGTGACATAAGAGCTCAGCAGCTCTGCCCTCCTCTGCAGGTGGGACAAATCCTCGAGACAGAGAAGTGAAGAGACGGTCTCCGTGCCATATTGAACGGGCTGTCGAAGCCGTGACAGGAGAGTGGCAACTGTGTCGAGCAGCTCATCCCGCTGTGCCTGCAGGAAGTCACACAGGGGACTCTGAGGAGCAGCTCCTGCATTTGTAATTCTACTCTTCTTGTCTGTCAGATACGTCTTCAGAGCCTGCAGTCTGTCTGCAGCTTGGCTGTAGCCTGGCATTACAAAGGGCTGCTGCGGCAGAGTCCTGATTGATCTCGGGGGGGTCTGCGAGGCCTGCAGTAGAATGTTTAAGTTGTGGCTGTTGATCTTGATAATCTCGGCTGCCACGTCCACACCGAAGCCCAACAGAAGGGGGTCGTCGGTGTTTGCCGAGTCCTTGAGACTCTGCTCCATGATGTTCAGCAGTCGTGACAAATCTGCCGAAATAAAACTCAGTCTCAGTTTGATCCATCACGTAGAGGAGACACCATGAAAACTTAATATAGAGACCTTATGAAAGATTTTAAAGATGAAAGAAAATAAGACCCGCTCTCCAGTGTATTCTGTTGGCGATGACCTTGTAAAATATGTTTTGCCTTTAAGAATATAGAATACAAGTATTTCTAAAGTGGAAAAATGCATTTTTGTTTTCAAAAACAGCAGAGATTTGACCAGTAAATGTTACTACTGTGGCGCTGTTACTGCAGTACCAAACTGTGCAGGACTGTGGGGCTCATCTCTGCTCCACAGAGGTGACTCTCTACTGAGACACCTCTCTGCTATGTTTCCCACCACCTCCAGATCTGCTGGGTCTGACACGTGTCCCCCGTGGACCAGACTGACTGTGGATGAAACCACACAACAAAGTTAAACTACTGACAATTAAAGGAAGTAGATGGAAAGTCGGAACATGTCACGCTACATAACCTGCGACATAATGTAAAGCTTTAGTTCTGTTGTGACAGAGTCTGACAATTGAATGATGTGCTTCAACCAACGCCAGAAGGTCCACTTGATTCCTGACAACAGACACAAACCACAAGGTCATTTTTACATCTTGGAAAAAAAGAAAACAATTTGTTTCTTATTGTGCATTATTATGTTGACTGATAGATATTTAGTTTTTTTTTCCTCACCAGTTGTAGATCCTCCCCTGTCCCAAGAGTTTACAGCTCTGTCGCTGCAGTAGGACAGAGTGGAAAGTGGCAGAGCGGAGCAGGAACTCCGTATCTCTGTCCCT